TTATTGTATTGTATTCCATTGTACCTTATGTATGTGAACTACTCTATAACTGTTGCACAGAGCAGAGAAATTTCTGGATTCATGCAGGTAACATATAAACCATTGACATGATTTTACTCATGGTACTAGTTAAGTGTGTAAGTTTAACAAATGTAACAGTTCAAAAAAACTAGTACCATGAGTAAAATCATGTCAATGGTTTATATGTTACCTTTAATTGGTATCAAGTAAGTCATGTGAAAGCTGTACTGTTACAAAGTAACAGTACAGCTTTCACATGACTTACTTGATACCAATTAAAGGTAACATATAAACCATTGACATGATTTTACTCATGGTACTAGTTAAGTGTGTAAGTTTAAACAGACTTAATTCGTGATACTTAATTTTGAGTGTACTTATTTTCAGGCTTTTTCTTTGAACCTACTGTCTTCACTGATGTACAGGATGATATGTACATAGCTAAGGAAGAATCTTTTGGTCCGGTGATGATCGTATCAAAATTTAAAGAAAGGTAACTGATCTTTAGAATATGTACACCTTCAGGTTAGAGCTGGGTAATTTAATTTAATTAACTTAAATTATGATTCATCAAAATTAGTATTTCCAATTATTACTGTTTTTGATTAATTGAAATTACAATTAAACTGGTTATTCCAACACTTGATTAATTAAGATTATATTGATGGTCATGAAAATAATCAACTAATTGAAATGGGGGTTTCAGATTATTACCATTTCCAATTATCCAAGTAATTCAAATATTGCTATTATGTTTGTTAAGCACAAAGCTATATAATGGACAATCTGCACTCTGTTCAGTTTTAGCATTATATCTTTTTTCACTTCAAGTTTGTTCAGCTTTGGTGATTGTTAGGACAAAGCTATGATGGCTGTCTACCACTAATTTTGAACTGTTAACTGGAGGGAAGCCAACTGGCTAGCAGCACAAGCTGCTAACAATTATTTTATTCTTTAATTGCTGAATAGAGAGAGAAACTGGCTGAACACTAGTAATTACCTCTAATCACACAGCTCTGCTTCAGGGAAGCTATTTGGCATAAATTAAAGATTTTAATAATATTCTTGAGACACAACTTAAAAATAAAATGAATTTGTAATGTTTTGTTATTGTAGAGATTTGAGTTGTTAAGACATTATAAAAATATTGTTATAGGAGAAATTTCCCCCTTTTTTTTTGTTAATGAGAAAACAGTACTTGAGGAAGTATTTTTTCAATATGTAACAAAGTCTGGGTGTGTCTCAATTAGAAGTCTGAACTATAGAATTGTATTCACAAAAAACAGCTCAGACACAATTCTGAAAACAATGTCATAAGATGTGTTGCTGGATTTAATTTTTATGGCTTTAAGTAAAAATCATTGTTAAAATTATTTGAAAGCATTTCCATTGAGATTTACAACTTTCATATTAAAAGTTAATCTACAAATAGCCAGTCATTATTTGATTGTACCTTAGTATTTATAACTTAGTAAATGGCTGAATGCATAGTTTTTGTAATATTATATTTTTCTCTTTAGCGAGATTGACGATGTCATTAAGCGGGCTAATAGTACAGAGTTTGGGTTAGCTTCAGGAGTCTTCACAAGAGATCTGTCTAAGGCCATGTATGTTAGTGATCGTATTGATGCCGGAACATGTTTTATCAATTGCTATAACAAAACTGATGTAGCTGCTCCATTTGGTGGGTTTAAACAGTCTGGTTTTGGTAAAGATTTAGGTAAGCACATCATGATTTGTTTGTTAATATGATATATAAAAATAGTAATGAATATTTTAAAGTTAGGCGTTGCCAAGAAAAGCAAAGGTAAAAATGTTTTCATTCACAGAAACTTTGCTTTTAGTTTGAATAATAACCATAATGGAAGCCTATTGAAGAAACTTGAACAGTGATGTTATTTATTAGTGTTTTGAAACTGCCACCTTATTGTTTCTCTTATCATTTTATTTTATTTCCAGGAGAAGCAGCTTTAAACGAATACCTTCGCATTAAATGTGTGACAGTTGAGTATTGATTACAGATCTTGTGATGAACAGTTTATAAAGGTAAGTTCTGCTGGGAGTTCTTATTAAACATTGCTGTTTGAAATATAAACTAATATTTACTGTCACACTAGTACAGACCTAGAATCACTTTTAAAGTTTAAAAATTCAGCAAAAATAGCTTTAGAACTTTATAGTAATAGACTGATAGTTAACCTGAAAATTGCTTCCAAGGAATACATCCTGGTCAACTCACATTTCCCTAGTAATGTTGTGACAGAAGAAAAGAAATGGACTAATTCGTTGAACTGAATCCTACATGAATATGTAGCTTTGAAGGTGATTTTAATTCCCAGAGTTTTGTGTAGTTGGATACTGACTGAAATGTGAATGAAAGATTCTTAGAGAAAGCACTGTAAAATTTCACTTGTATTCTAGTTAATAATGATGTCATCGCAAGAATGGCAGAGAGAGAGAGAGAGGAAGGAGACTCGGCTATAGACCAGACTCTTTTTACACCTGCTACATTCCTTGAGTTGAAATGGTAGCTATTGCCTTCAATGGGCAGTAACCACAAGCCCCATACTTGTGAATGTAGCCAAGAAAGAGCCATCTCGAAAACCCAACATGAATTACAGGAGAAAGTTTTATTTCATTCCCAGTTGAGAGAAATCTGGAAAAATGGTATAAAACGAAGAAAAACCTGGGAATTTGTGATTTGTCAAACCAATTCTATGTTGTTGTTTTTTGTGAGGAGTGGAGTGGATTATATGGTACTTGACCAAAAATGACAGGAAAAGCTAGTTGGTTGGCTGGTATATGTTTTGGCAATTTTGTAAACTGGAATTCTTTGTTATCATTTGAAAGTTTTGGTTTAGATTTAGAGATTTGGTTTTCCTTTCATAATCTCTATTTAGCTAAATTATTAGCAGTGGCATTAAGTTTTTAGTACTTTTAAACAGCTTCAGTGTGATCAGATGAATTGTTATTTATAGCAAAATTGTATTTGATTTCTACAAGTTTCATTGTACCCAATCACAGAATACCAGATAACTCTGATATATATTTTTAAATTTAGTTTTGGTAAAAGAATTATTGGTAATGAACCTTAAAATAAGCAGTTTCTTATTAAACAGATAAATATTTATGTATTTGAAGGCTATGCAATGTGCTGTAATTTGTTCTTAACAGGGAATATTAACTTGCAATGCCTACAAATATTAATTAAATGATTGTCTTTGAAAATGACCAACTTTAATGATCTGTTACACATACCAATGAATGTGCAAAAGTTAAACATCCAAAAACCAAGGAGCTAAATTGATCACTCCAAATAAGTTGTTGCAACCATCATTAGGTTAAAGAAGTTAAATTTTAAACTGAAGGTTCAAAATTTCTTTCCATAAAAATGGGTTGAATGTAGCATTAAGTGCTGTTTTGCTTTACTCCAGCATGGGACAACCCTAAAATATGGATACAACTATTTACAAGAACCACTTCTTTGAGTTTTACAACAGAATTGTGTATGGTTTTATGTCAAATGCATTGCTTGATATTTACAAAGATCCACTACTGTGGGAGAAGTTCTGTATGGCTACAACACCTGATTGTGATGCTGATAGAATTAAGGTAATATTTTATCAGCATTAAGCTTAATTCAGTAGATTGCAATGCATTGCAGAACAGTAGAAATGTGGATGACTGTTAGATTTCACATACAACAGGTTTATTTACACTAGAAAAAAATTTAATCAACTGCAATTAAATTTGTGTCAGGATTAAAATATGATGCATTGTGACCTACAGTAAAACCTCATTAGCCCATGTACTGATAATTTTCATTAGTCACAATTCAGATTTTAATGTTGAGAAATCTTCACAATAAGAAACTTAATCCATATACTCAAATTCCAAATTTAAATGGCTATTTATTATAGCAATCATGTTTCTTATAACTACATGATTTAGTAATCTGTACAAGACTTCACTAGAGTCAAGTAGAGGTCGATCAGAATGAGAAACGAGGTGATAATTAATGACCATAAAAGACCTGCGCTTGCAATCTGTCTACGTTTATAAGAATAATTCTAAGAATGACTTAAAGAGTAGATTTATATATAAACTATAACAGATATCTAGAGTTCATCAGAGTTATTTATGCTAGTCGATCAGAATGAGAAACGAGGTGATAATTAATGACCATAAAAGACCTGCGCTTGCAATCTGTCTACGTTTATAAGAATAATTCTAAGAATGACTTTAAGAGTAGATTTATATATAAACTATAACAGATATCTAGAGTTCATCAGAGTTATTTATGCTAGTCGTGCCAAGTCACACTTCTTCAAAATGAAGATGAATGGAAACATCAGCATCAAATTTTTTTATACAAGAAAGCAGTGCATGTACTATAAGTAAATCATTAGTTTCAGAAAAATGGTGATTTATGTGAAGATAACAACATAATATGCCACTTTGTTCAGTAATCATTTTGTAATCTCTGCAACAAATCAATAGATGTTACGATTATGGAAAGAACAGAAACACTGAAAATGAAATAAAGTATGGGAAGTTTTCACTTGCAGCACTAGTGAACTTGAATAAAAAAAAAAATGATTCAAATTCTGTTTTTCTTACTGTTCTAAAGAAGACATATGAAAAGGTGAAATTTATTGGTGTTTAAAATCAATTTTTTCAAATTAGTTGTTTGTATCAAATGAGTGAATGTTTCCAGATTTAGAGAGCTCGGTCTGTGAATGTGGGAACTAAAAACCATGTACTTATTGTTTTTTTGCATTTCACCCTATTTAGGCAATTTACTGGAGCAAAATGTAAAATATGAGCCATTTGTATTGCTGTTTGATGAATTTTTAAACAGAATTGCAGAAGAAATAATTAGATTTTGGAACAACAACCAAGTCAAAAGCAGATACTACATGCCTAATATTTTAGGTCGTGCACGTGCAACAGATCTTTTGGGAAGTTTAGAAAATAAAGTGGAAAAAAGATTTGGTCTCAGCAGTTTGGGCAGCATTTAATGGGCTTGAAAATAAAATAAAACAGTTACTGAACATACGATCTTGTGAATTACATATCATACCCAGTCCATTTCATGCAGGAGTACTTAAAACTGAATGGGATATTTTTGTTTGGCCACTAATAACTGAAGTTATATACAATCCCTAAACTCCATAAAGCAACAGGTCACTAGTCCAAATATCAGTATATATTATACCCCACTAGTTGATCTATCATGCCCTTTTAGCCATATCCTTTGCCATTTTGTTCACGTTGTTGGGTCGAAAACGTTAATTTGTGAAAGAGTGTTAGAGGTCAATTCAAATGTTCTGAAGTATATTGGAAAATAAATAAATAATATCTGGGAACAAACTTTTATGAAACTGTCAAACACTGCTGAAAAGACTCCTTTATGCAAAGGTAAAATTTTATTTATAATCTCATTTGGAAAACTGGTAGAAAACTTTCTGAAGCTTTGTCAAACAGATAAGCCTATGTCACCATTCTTAGGAAAAGATTTGGAATCTTTATTGCACTGCTCTGAAACTAAATGCAGTTGATGTAACAAATAAGGAAATCCTCAAAGCATACGGTCGAGTAAACATTAGCTTTGGTCCAGACTTACAATTGAAAACTATGTTGTCCCAGGAAAATAAAAGTAAGAGGGAAGCATTTTGGAGTCTAGACTCGTATTGCAAAACTAACAACATCATAGAGCACAAGAAAATTGAGGTATATAGTGGATGAAAAGATGTTACAATTGAAAATATGTATTATACAATAAAAGGTTTTCAAAATTCATTGCAAAACTAATGCAGATTTATTTCAGTTGATACATTTTGAATTTTTAATCTACCTCTGCAAATACGTTAAATGTGTGAATAATTTTTTTGTTTTTTCCTAGTTGTAATAGGAAAAAGATGCAAAATGTCAATTAGAATTGGGGATTTTATTTTTCACTGTAACTCTCTTAATCTTGTTAAGGTGTAGAAACAGATGTGAAATGTCAATGAGAATTGGGGATTTTGTTTTTCACTGTAACTCTCTTAATCATGTTAAAGTGTAGAAATAGATGTGAAATGTCAATGAGAATTGGGGATTTTATTTTTCACTGTAACTCTCTTAATCTTGTTAAGGTGTAGAAACAGATGTGAAATGTCAATGAGAATTTGGGATTTTTCTTACTTTAGTTTAACTCTCTTAATCGTGTTAAAGTTGTGGTAACTATTCAAGTAGTTAAAGGATGCTTGTTTTCGAGGGATTTTACAAAACTTACATGATATGATACAATTCAAAGTACACATACACAGTATTTCTGAACTTGTTAAACTAAATTCTGTTACATTATGCATAACACAGCCATTATCCTCAAAATGAAAAAAGGTACAAGTATATTTGATTTAGCATGATAATTAAGTGTAACCAATAGATTTTTGTAAACTTGAATTGATCTCATGCTGCATAATTTAGTATTATGCATTTTACTTTTGTTCAGCTTTAGTTGTTGTTTTTTTCCAATTTATATCTAGTCACTTATTGTTTTTCACTGCTAAAGCTGGATTGGGCCAAGTTATAAAGATGTTCAGTTAATTAAAAAAATTATTTTGCCACTACTTTAGTCTATTGTAATAAGTATATGTGGTGAAACAGCAGGCCAGCACTTGACATTGAAAATTACCAGTGCTACTTTAGTCTATTGTAATAAGTATATGTGGTGAAACAGCAGGGCAGCACTTGACATTGAAAATTACCAGTGCTACTTTAGTCTATTGTAATAAGTAGATGTGGTGAAACAGCAGGGCAGCACTTGACATTGAAAATTACCAGTGCTTGCCATGAAACCTTTTGTTGCTCAAAATAATCATACTTACAATTTGCAAGATGAAGCTTTGTATCAACAAGATATTTCTATGATAAAAGTAACAAATAATTGCAAAAAGACTTGTGTGAGAGCTGTTGTCTGCCCATCATCAAGGTTGGAAGAATAAGACCAAAGAAATTCACAGTGCTTGCAGAAAGATGCCTACAGTCAGTTGGATATTGACATTTTGGCAATAAAACTGAAGGCTCTGCCATTTTTGAAAATGGATATTGGCTATGCTGGACACCAGGTGCTATCAAATGAAACTTGGCATATGGATATTTTAAATCACCTGTGGTTAGCCACAAGGCCTTATCCCCACTGAGTCCTGCACCTTAAAGGTATACACAGCTGGCCTAGTCTATACAATGGAAGGCCCTGATGTGACACCATGTAAATATTATTGACAATATAATTATTGTAAGCATCTTTTACACACATTAACAGGATTTGTTTGCAAGAAGCCAGTAAAAGTATCTGCTAGTGGACTAGATGATACAATGTCCATACAACCAGATAAAGCCTGTTGGATATTGGGTCCATATCTCACACGGACACTTTTTCCTCTTGACATTGATATATGCATACAGAAGAGATTCACCTAAGAACTGCATTTTTCTGGATGTTGTGATGGACCACAGCATGATGATCTGAGATAAGTCAGTAGTCTTACCTTTTCAAGTATGCAGCAACCCATAAAGTACATCAAAGGAGCCTCATCAATCTGGTGAGAGCAACAGAATAGAGTATATAATCCGGCAGGAAAGTCAGTGTACCAAGCAGCCATAAGAATAGTAACTGGAGCAGCCAAACAAGTTCCTGTAACACCTTGTGCATCTGGCTTGCTTTAGTAGCTTTATACCAAAAGACAAAAGATTCCAGACAGCCAAGCACTACTCAAAGCAACTACAACCATATCAAACTTGCTATATCAGCACTTGAAAGAGAGGGTAGACAAATTAGTAATACAGAAACAAAAATGGTCAAGTCATGGGTCAGTGAGGCCAAGAAATATGTAGAAGAGATATGTCCAATGGAAAACATCAAGAGTATTGAATGGGTCCAAGCAGAAGGCATTAAGTTAAACATAGAAAGATTGGCAACAGGATGTGGATGGGAAAGGTCAGGACTACTGATCAAAACAACCAAAGTCATGGAATTGATATACAAGCAGAAACTGATCGCAACAATGGATGGCTCAGTCAAGAAAGGCTTGACTATATGGGTAAGTAAGAGCAATGTAGAGAGATGGGGATTTATTGTTTAAATGGTGACAAAAACATGGCAATCCAGTTCATTCAGAGAAAGATGTACTTGTTTGGTTGACCTGTGGCAGTGAAAACCATGGAAGGATCATACTCCTGACAAAATTTCTAAACCTCCTTACAAAATTAAAGACAGATTTTGTCCAAAGAACATAGGTAAAACTTTTGGGAGACTGAAGGCTCATCTGATAACCTCTATTCAAGGTTACAGTGGTATGTTCTTCAGTCAGAAAGTAGACCATGTAGTTGGCAAGATGCATCCCTGGTATGATCTCTGAATGATGCCATTAATGAAATAGTTTATAGAAAGGGAATAGGAAATGATCGAACAGAGATGTCATACTAGAGGAAAGAAGTGGAAGTAGATTTTGTTTTTTATTAAGCTCAAAGGTACATAATGGGCTACCTGTACTGTGTGCACCAGAGGTATCAAAACCTTGGTTTTAGCATCATAAGGCTTCAGACTGAGCCACTGGGAGGGCATGGAAATGAAGCAAGTGCAAAAGTATGTAGGAAAGACAATGCTACTCAAATTGAACTGGGCATTATAACTAGAACCTTAAGGAGATTATTGGAGGGAGGAGAATCTGTGTAAATAAAAACTTTAAACTTCCTATAGTTAAAGGTACTCTAAAGCAACATTACTATTTGATGACTACTGCCAAACCTTTTAAATTTTAATGAATATAGATCTTATACTTTAAATCATGTAGTTGCACTTATTCAACTCTAGTGTTGCAAGTATTTAAATATATCTATTTCTGCCTTTGCAGGAATTGCTGCTGCCATGTATATTTGCAAGCTGTATGGGCTGATTGACTGAACTATCATGAAAATTCTGCTTAAACAATCTATCAACGATGAACTATCATTTTTATAGCCTTATTAAATGTGATTTAAATGGTTTCTTGCTGATGGTTAACTTACAGACCAGTCAGAAATTTCCTTTTAGTTTAAAACTCAAATCATTTACAATTTCAGTCATTTTTTATACTTTCAGAGTTTTGAAATTTATGCAAGTTGTACAACACATTTTGATGCTTACAGTAAACCTTATATGTGGATTTATATTTTTATTATAAAACACAATGTATTTGCTATTCTTAGGAAATACTCCTAACATATTAAAATTTAAAAAAACTTGTCCTAACAAATAGGATTAATTTTAGGTTACATGGTGTTGTGCATGATTCTAAAGACTTAATCTAACATAGATGTAGTTTTTCCTTTATACTTGTATCATTTTATGTTCCTAAACATTGTATGGAATGTTTTGAAACAAAATGCTGTGTCAACATCATGATAGTTAAAAGAGGTAAGGTATACATACTTAACTGTCATGTAGTTTTGTGAATTGCCTGAAAACTTTATCTGAGGATTATATTCATATGCACATCTAAATGTAAAAACTTTCCATTTCATTTTTCTTTGTTCCTTAAATAAAAGGTTCCTGTTTTCATTGTTTATGAAACAGCTTTATCTATAATATTTTTATAATCACAAGTTATTTCTATTGTTGTGTAAAGAAGAAAGTTTAAAATTTAACATATGATTTACATTTCTAATTCCAAATATATATTTTTATTGAGAACTCACTAGAACGCACTTTGTGTATATTGTAACCTTCCTATTCATGCTTGTAACATTTACAGGTAAATGGTGAAAAGGAATTGACCATTATTTTATTATAAGTAGTGAATGTTTGGAAGTTAAATTTACAGTTTGTAAATGTCCCTCATGAGTGACAAAGTGTGTCAGAACGATACAACTTGTAAAGCAAAAATAAAATGTTAGCAGCAAAAGAAATGTTTCTTTATTTATTTTTTCCAAAGAAAGTACTAGAAAATATGCTTTATCACTCTTCCAAATAATATATATTTAATTTAAAAAGAACTGCATTCAAGTTCTGTAAAAACTCATGATATCCACTTTAGAAATTAGCTCTGTTTGTCCTTACATAAAATGTATTTGAATTTTCTATTTATTTCACAGCATTTCCAAGTTTTTAGTTTGTAAAAGAAAATGCATCTAAACCCTAAATATTTCACATTTTGAACTTTGGACCTCAGGTTTAATACTACTAACAAAAGCTAGAAATGCATTATTATAACTAGCCTAAACATCTTAACTATTGTTAATTTGTCCTTTATACTTGTATGGAATGTTTTGAAACAAAATGCTGTGTCAACATCACGGTAGTTAAAAGATGTATACATACTTAACTGTCATGTAGTTGTTTTGTGAACTGTCTGAAAATTAATGATAGCACATGAACTTAAATGGCTTCCATTTTAAAATGTCTTTAAAGTGGATACTGGAAATAAGACACTTCATTTAGAAATTGTACTTTTCACTCCTTGGAAGTAACATCAACACAAGCTTAATACTGTAAATCTTTCAATATTCAAAGAAAAACACCTTGCCTTCCTTTTGATAAAATGCATGTTTTTTAAATAAGATTTTCTAGACACTCTTCTAATAACAGTCATACTAGGAGAGCAAACATACTCCAGGGTGGACTTATTCTTGGCAGAATAATAGAACCAGCTAACTGTAGCCCACAAGTTTGATTCTTCACACCTTGAATATTATGTCAATTTTAGATGGAAAAGTGCTGCATAGGAATTACTATTTGAAACCATTCAATTTTTATTAGACTATTTCAGCCTCCAAATTCAGGGGTGAAATGGGCTAACTTTGACGTTATTAATAAAAGAAGTAAATCCAACTAACTAATTATCTAGTATTAGTAACAAACTTCATATATTCACTATTGTCATTCAACATAAGATCAGTGTTGTACAATCTTCAATTGATTATTCAGCTCACTAGTTTACTTTGAAGGATGTCTAGGAGTTTAACAAATTATTTGTTAGGTTTAAGTAATATGAGCCTGTAGTCACATACACTTTTGTTTTGATCAGTTTAATGATAGGTTTTAAAACTTTTTTTTAACATCAGTATTTTCTTTTATAAATTTCCAGAAGGAAGTAGAATTTTAATAAACTAGAAATATAAATAGTTCCTAAATGAATTAGTGTGAGGAGAAAAAATTTGAAGCAATTATTTACTTCCACTTCAACCTCAAAACAAAAACTTATTAAACAGTACTAAACCATACACCTGATTAGAGTGACTACAAGTTTCTAGAATAAATCTAACAAGTTTCAGAATAGGAAACTTAAATGTTTTGGAAGGTATTGAAAATTTTATTTTAAGTCTATAGATGTTATAAATCAGCTCTGAGCTGATCTTCAAAAAGAAAGGCATGTTTAAAACGTCCAGTTCAATATTTTCAAATGCTTATAGATAATGAAAGGTTAGTATTTGATTTTATTCACCTTAAACCTTTTGTTGTTTTTTATTACTTAAAAAGCTAAAATTTTTCATTTGTGGAATTTCGTGAAAAATGACTGCACTGCAATACTATAAATATTTTTTGAGCAGTTATTTATTTCAAATACTTTTATCTTTTGTAAATATATACATTCCAAGTTAATTAACTAAATTTAGTCTGTTATGGTCATATTCATAGTCTGAAAATAAACAAGGTTTGTGGTAGTAGAGGCCTATGACAGCTAAATAACAACCAATGACTACAGAAGTAATAATGTTTATATAACATTCCCATGTTTATCATCTTACTATAATTGAGCAATGGTGTGGCTGTATTTATAACTATATGACCAAAATAATACAATGGTGCCTCTTGATGTACTGAAATACAAGATTTCAATGCCAGAAGTGGTGATTGACTTATGGCGCCATCTACTGAGTGGCACCACAAACCCATAAAAAAAATCCACTTTGGGTACTCAAGATTCAGACAATTAGAAAAATAACTATGGTATGTACAACAACCATTTCTTTATAACAAAACACAATTTTAAATAAAATTACTATCCTTACAACAATATTACGACTTTCACTAGGACTGTATGCGAGGGTTTTATTATATCTTTATTGGCATAATTTGTAAATGTAGTACTAAAAAACTGGTTCTTAAAAAAATATAATATTTTTTCAATAAAGGGTAGCACTTTTAATGGATGTAAAAACGTATGAAAATTTTGAGCTCTGTCCATTGAAACATTTTGATGCAATGAGGTGTGTGTCACTAATAAGCACAATCCCGATGGGTGGCTTTTCTGCTAGTTATAAATAAAACTTGAACTGCCAAATTGATTTAAATCAATGATTTTTTTAAAGAGAAGATTTAACTTACCTAATTATAATTAAAACTAATTCCAACAGTATTACAAATTATAAACTCTAACCTTGATACCTCAAGTGTTCCACAAACTTGATATAAATGAACTAAAATATCCCAGCTAGAATAGAAAATTATAAGATAAAAGTTGGGAAATTTAATAGCAAAAAACAAGATCCATGATAATTGAATTTAAATATCTTTAAAACATTTGGCTAAATAATTGGACAGGGATTTAAAAAATACAGATTCATTTATTAGAATACATGTTTCTTAGAAAGCTTATTATAATCAATATTTATACTATTTAGAGAAACACTTAAAAATCTTTATTAAGATTACATTTAAGGACACACGTTTTGAATTTTTGACTATTGTGACAATATTTTGCTCTGTGCTAAGAAAAAAAGCCAAAAAGATAAAACAGCTTTGAAAAATTTCACAAACATTCTACAGAATACAACAAAATATCAGTTTGCTAATAACAAGTTATTTAAAACCTTCTTTAGACTATGTGATTAACATTTAAAAGATTAAAACACTAAAGAGGAGGGGGAAAACTTTCCCACACCATTTTAGTAAAAAACAAATATTCAAATTATCCTATACTGTAAATGAACTCTGAGATAGCAAGGCACTTTATAATTAAATACAATAAACAAGTTTGAAAAAAATTAAGACAAAAATCATAATGTACATGATATAAACCACAACATAAAAAACTCTTCAATTACATTTACACCCCAAGTGTCATTTTTTTCAACTAATTCATAAAGTAATGAAATGATGAAGTCATATTTAAAATGAGTTAATATTAAAAATGAATTAAAGTGAAATAAATTTTTGAATTTTCAGTATGTATATTTATATCCTCATGTCAAAACTATTTCTAAATAAAATTACACTTTCAACTACTAGAGGATGGATCTTGTATGTTGTTAGATGCATTATCTTCTGCAACATAAAATAAAACTTGGCGTTTACCAAAACAGCCATTCTTCCAAACTTCTTGGATATCATGAACAATTATCTTGATTATACAGAGGAGTGAGAGAACTGTCTGCAAGAGAGAATAGATAACATGAACTACACAAATCATTTAATTCAATTACTTTTCTCAAGGGGCAGCCATTTTGTCTTTTGTAAATTTGTCAATTTCATGTACTTAGCATAATATATGCATCCTTATACATTTTAAATTAACTAATATTCACAGTATGACAATGAACAAGGCTTGTGGTAAGTACAGGCCTAAGACAGCTAAATTACAACTAATGACTACTGAAGCATTAATGTATATATAATATTCCTGTGTTCATCATTATAAATAAAAACTTGAACTGCCAAACTGATTCAAATCAATGATTTTTTTTTTTTTAAACATGTAGTTTAACTCACACAATTATTGCTAAAACTAATATCAACAGCACCACAAATTTTAACACCCCTAATGTTCCAAAACAAATATAAAGTAATAGGATAAACCTGCAAAGTTGGGAAATTTAATAGCAAAAATGTTGATTACTCTAAACAACACTAGTAACACACTTCACCAAGTACTGAGCAAACTTACTTTAAATCCACTAAACAAATGTTGCAAGTAATATTTTCATCAAAATTAGTTACTCTACAGATATTACAGATGTCTTATTGAATACTTAATTGTCCTTAACCACTACAACACACCAAAAAAGCTGAAAAGAAATTTAGTGTGAATAATTATTTAATAACTTAAAAATACACACATCGTGTAAAGAATTGAGATTGGAAGTTGAAATAAAAATACTCATTTCAAACAAAGCCACTAACACATCAAAAAGTGTGTTTTAACAGTCTTTCTCACACATCTGAAAATTCTATATTTAACTGAACAATATATAACAGTTTTTTACACTTACCATTATCATAAAGCCATAAAATACAGAGTTCCATCCCAAGTCTCTATGAAGTAATGGTACAAGCAACTACAGAAATGGAAGGAAAATACACTTTGCAGTAAACACAAACAAGCATATGCAGTTATAAAAGCACATTAATATCTAAAAATATCAAGAAAAAAATACTTGACTGAATTTTTCAACCAAATGATCTTTATTGGCAACAAATGACTTAAATACAAATGTTTAGGAAATATTACAAAGTACAACATTAACTGGCTTGATACAACAGAAAGTAATTTCATAAAAAAGATAATTAGAACAAATCCTTGCCTGGCCAACAGCTGCTCCAGCACTTCCAGTCCCGTCCACTATTCCAGTAACTGTTGAAAGAGCTTCTTTACTCCCACTTAATTCTTTTTGCCTGCCAAGGTCTGCAGAAATGGCTGTGCTCACCAAATTTGATGCTCCAGCAATAAAAAAACCAGTGACACTCATCAGGAAACCATTCATTATTAGGTCTGGACCAGAAGCTTTAAAAAAAAACCAGTGACACCCATCAAGAAACCATTCATTATTAGGTCTGGACCAGAAGCTTTAAAAAAAATTAGATTTTAAATATACTTGACATGGAATAAATTATGAACAAAAATTTGGCAATGACTAAAAACCAATAGTATTCTTTGAATAGAATCTAAATATTCATTATAATGATTTAATATGAGCATAAAAATCAAGCCTAATTATATTAATTATAAGTAAAAATTCTCACATACAATGAATATGGTGAATAGTAATTTTAACTATATTTTACTTGAAATATTACTAACATTAATGAAATGACAGTACAGAAAAATATTATATAAAAAAATGCAGTAACATAAAATAACATTCCAATCTACTCAAAACAAATATTTTATCTAGAAAACATTATTTGATCAAAATGATGATAATATAGTTTTCTTTACTGTTTGTATATAGGAACTTTTTACTTTGGTAAGTAAAGATGCTTTATGAAAGACTCGTACAACAAAATACCACCACTATTTTTAAGCACAAAATGCATTTTTCAAGGCACAAAAGTAAATTATCATTAACAAGAAAACAAAGTGATTTCATTGAATAAAAAACAATTATACAAGTGGATTCAGAGAATCAGTCTTTAGCACATTTGAGTTATTGATATACAGCATTGACTGAATTATTCAATGTCATAAAATCCTCTATTTACAGCTACTCACTCTATTCAGTATTTTTTAGGAAAGTTTTTAATGGTTCATATTCTTTTGTAAGCTATTTTGCTCTTTCTTTTGTACTTTTTCTCAAAGACTTGTAATTTATGCCCAAGTTAAATTTCCCATTCTTTCTGCCTTCTCAGACTTTGTTAAAGATTCAATGTTTACACTCTGCTGCTGAAGATACAGATAATATAATACCTATGTTGTTGGCACAGTTGCTGGCACAAGCAGTTGTTTAGTAACAGCAAACATATATAAATTTTCTCCCACAGCTTTCATATGATCAAATATCAGACATTGACTGCTTCTTCAGCTTTTCCATCTATGTTGTAGAATGACATCACAATCTTTTGGCACTTAATTAGCAGACTGAGAACTTTCTTGAATTTTCAGCATTAGCAACTATTTGGAGACTATGATAAGGGACAACACTCCAATGTCCAAGTTTGTCTGCAGAAATGATTTCTGAAAGTTAAATCAGCGTTGATAAACATTCTCATCAGTGCTTTAATTATGTTGCATAAGTCACTTGCTAGGAAACAAGTATTATCTTTTCAGACTGATAAGGCCTGAGAAATGACTATACATTTGCAGGAATGATCCATCTGAATGGGATCTGCCCCACCACTCAAATCCAGGGCAGTATCCATTAAGATTGATAGGCATTCTAGTTTTAAAAAATAGTCAAAATTCAAAACAGAAGAGCTAATTATGTAGTTTTCCTCAAAAACCGAAGTTATGGAATTGTCAAGTTTTTGTGCTAATTTAGGACTTGGCCAATTCATACCATTCTGAATGCATCTCCCTACTGGAAACTTTCTTAGAAAATACTGATATTATCAGTTATATGGGAGAGTACCATTACTAGTTGACCAACGTACTCCTTTCATGAATCTATCACTGCTGTCCATTGATCATGCTCTTTTTACCTGTCTTCAGGAGAGGAAATTAATCAAGCAGACCTTTGTGATCTTATCAAGTAGTTGCCATCTCAATTTATCATCAAAACAAACATAGAGAAAGCAGATGAACTTGAAACAAGTCAAATGGCACTGTCAGTGCAGTAGTAAAAATAAACTTTTTAATACCCCAGTTAGGGATTATAATGAACAAGGGGGATGCCAAATAATGGTACTGTGTTTCAGGGCCAATGAAACTGATTGTGACTGCTCACTTTTGTCACTAGTATAAAGAGAAATAGGTGTAGAGGTAGACTGCTCAGCTCATTTGTCTATGGAGGGCTACAGAGATATCTGTTTGCACTTCCACTATAGCAGTGGCTCAGAGTGCAGCAGAATAGCTGTTTTCAAAGGCATCACACCATCTTTATTACCTCAGGGTACAAGATGTTATTGATGGTTTTAATCCTGTGTATCTCTTTCACTTCAATTAATTGGGGAAATGATCTATCATAAGAGGGTGCTGTCATGGTCCATTCTGACACTCATGGCCTTAGAAACTGCAACATAAGCAAATTAAAGACCCACAAAAAGAGTAAAGAAAATGAGACATCTTCCCTAATGATATTTCTAATAAAGAATGAAGTACCAGTAATTGAAGTGCTGTGACAGATGGTGGTAAATGTGCATCTGAAGTGCTGTGACAGATGGTGGTAACTGTGCATCTGAAGTGCTGTGACAGATGGTGGTAACTGTGCATCTGAAGTGCTGTGACAGATGGTGGTAACTGTGCATCTGCAGAGTCATCAGTAAATGGATGCTTGAAGGTTATAGTTTGGAACATCTATTAAAACAGTTACCATACCCACCATGAAGCCCTATGTGGGGGACATATTAGGTGGTAACTGTGCATCTGCAGAGTCATCAGTAAATGGATGCTTGAAGGTTATAGTTTGGAACATCCATTAAAACAGTTACCATACCCACCATGAAGCCCGACATATTACACTGTTAACCCTATATGCCTGGGCATCATTTATTGTGCACATCACGAGGTTTTAGTGACTTGCA